GTCCTTAATGTGTTGTTCAATGTGAATTAATGCTATAAATAGTACTCAAACAGTACTTTACACTTTGTGTTTCTGTGTGGGAGCAAACTGTTGAAATCTTTACTTAATACATACTAAATTGATCTTCTGTATATAAAAATAATTGAAAATGAATCTTGATGTGAATGAAATGGGAGAGGGAGTGGGAGATGGGAGGGTTGTGGGTGGGAGGGAAGTTATGGGGGGGAAAAGCTACTGTAATTCATAAGCTGTACTTTGGAAATTTATATTTATTAAATAAAAGTTAAAAATACATATAAAAAGAAATTTCTGTTAGTTAACTAACAAAAATTTTTCTTTAATAAGTCAAGACAAGCTTTTAAAAACTAAAATAGAAATAAAGATGAAAAACTAGGAACACTTAACTCTCACTGTCTACTCAAAAACTGTTTGTCAAATGAATGGATCATTGGTTTGGGACTGTTACTCTCTTGCCTTTATTGAATTATTCTCTGCTAAACGGTCACTATCTCCCTAATCAGACATTAGTGAAACAATGAAATTGGACCCCTACCTCTCCCATATACAAAAAATCAACTCAATATGGATCAAAGACCTAAGTGTAAGATGTGAAACTATGAAGTTAATAGAATAAATAATAAGGGAAATACTTCAACACTTCAAGACATTGTTGTAGTCACTGATTTTTTTTTTTTTGATAAGACCCCCAAAAGCACAGGCAACAAAAGCAAATCTAGAAATGTAATTATATTAAATTCAGAAGCTTCTGTGCTGTACGGAAACAATCAATAGAATAAAGAGACAGCCAACAGAATAAGAGAAAATATTTGTAAGCTAATTATCTAATAAGAGATTAATATCATGAAAATACCAGGAACTCAAAAGGTTCAACAGCAGCAAAAACAACAACAACCAACCAAAACAGTTAAATGGGCAAATAAATTGGATAGTTCTCAAAAGAAGAAATACAAATGGCCAAAAATAATATGAAAAAAATGCTCAACATCAACAATCGTCGGGGAAATGCAAACTGAAACCACAAATTGAAACCACCCATGTTAGAATGGCTATTATCAAAAAAGATATAAAGTAATAAATGCTGGAGAGAATATGGAGAAAGAGGAACTCTATTCTTTTGGTGAGAATACTGGTGAGTGCAGTAACTATAGAAAACAATATATAGATTTCTTTAAAACTACAAATAGAACTGCCATGTGACCCAGAAATTCCACTACAAGATATATCCAAAGAACACAAAATTTATCAGAGTCACATGCTCCACCATGTTTATTGAAGTACTGTTCACAATAGCCAAGATTTGGGATCAGCCAAGGCTTCCATCATCAGATGAATGGATAATGAAATGTGGTGTGTATATACATATATATATATAATTGTATATAATGTATATTATATATATATAACATATAATTAGATGTTAAAAACACTCAAATACATAAAATTAGAGATGAAGCAGGAGAAATTATCATGGATATTACAAAAATATAAAAGATCATAAGAAACTAACACGAACAACTACATGCTAACAAATTGGCAAACAATAAAGAAATGGATAAATTCCTGAGTATATATAACCTGTCGAGATTGAAATAAAATATAAAAAAATTAAGCATGTGCCTATCATGGAAAGAAATTGAAGCAGTAATTAAAAGCCTTCCATAAAAAAGTCCAGGACACGATGGCTTTACACCTGAATTCTACAATCATTTAAAAAGGAACTAACTCCAAAACTCTTCAAACAATTCCTTAATGCTAAAATGGAGGAACTCTGCCAAACACTTTATGAGATCATTATTTGGAAGCCAAAACCAAACAAACAGACAACACAAAAATGAAACTATAGACCAATGCCTTTGGATGATCATAAATACAAAAATTCTCAACAAAATATTAGCAAACCAAATCTAACACCACATAATATAGATCATATATCACAATCCAGTGGCATTTATCTCTGGGATGCAGAGATTTGGAAATCAAAATTTGGAAATCAATAAGCGTCATAAATCAAATTAACAGAATGAATTAGATTATTCAACTTGAGGACGAGGAAATGGAGCAAACTGGAAAAGAGATTTAATAAATCTTCAACTGGATGGGAGCCATTATTATAAAGACCACATTGTCAAGCTGCTCTTCATTTCTGGTGAGATAAAAATAGAGATTAAAACCTCAGGATAAAGGGATTTGGGTTAACTCATTGGAAGAACAGATTGACAGTAGTGGTTCAGATTTTAGAAAGTCATTAAAAGAATAACAAAGAACATTGTGGAAAAGGCAATTTCTCATCTTTGAGTCCTTTATTGCGAAATCAGCCACAGGATTCAATAATTAGTGCAGTTCATCAAATATTTATCAAACATATTTGCTATCTTTTGAAAGAGAAAAGGGACAAATATATGAAAAACCTGTGTATAAGGCAGATTGCGACAAAATCACAAAAACAAAGGACCTTGAGAAGTAAAAAGAGAAGGAAAATGTATCCATTTGAGGATATCAAGAAATATTTCATGTCACATATGTTGCTGCAGATAAACCTTGATCAAAACCATAGTTTGGATGATAAAGTGGTGCGATAGGATTTTGTATGTGTGTGTAAATGTGTACAGGTATATGTGTGTATTTTAGAACAGAGAGGCAAATTCTGATAATGGGATAATATATTCAAAGAGACAGAAACATTACACAGAATGAAGATAGTTTATTTGAAATGTAGAACAAGCTAAACATAGTAGATGATCTCACCAAGGGGGAGTATTTGGAGAAGAAAGAAGAGAATAAGCAAAAATTTAATTTAAGAAGGCAAAAAGAGGGACCTGCACTGTGGCTCAGTGGGTTAATGCCCTGGCCAGAAGTGCTGGTATCCCATATGGGTGCCAGTTCTAGTCCTGGCTGTTCCTCTTCTGATCCAGCTCTCTGCTATGGCCTGGGAAAGCAGTGGAAGATGGCCCAAGTGCTTGGGCCGCTGCACCCATGTGGGAGACCCGGAAGAGTCTCCTGGCTCCTGGCTTTGTATCTGCAGCTCCGGCCGTTGCAGCCATCTGGAGAGTGAACCATCGATGGAAGACCTCTCTCTCTCTCTGCCTATCCTCTCTCTGTGTAACTCTATCTTTCAAATAAATAAATAAATCTTTAAAAAAAAGAAGGCAAAAAGAGGAAAACAATGAAAAGGAAGATGATCAAATTCTAGTTCATTCTCTCAACAGATATTTGTTGAACACCTGTTATACAGCAAGCATGCTCATCCTGAAGGTATGAAGGACCAAATATTTCCCACTTGGATAGAGCTTGATTAAATAATGATTTAAATAGGCCTGGAAGTACGACTAGAATAAATGCCACAGAAAAATTATCTCCTAAGGGAAGGAAGGAAGGAAGCTGCAAATGTAGGCAGTGTATTAGTTGTGTAGGGAATGGGAAGCCTTTAGAGCTTTGAACATGTGGGTAACATAAATGTAAAAACATTTAGAAAAAAACCTCTTTAGTGGTCAGTGTGAAGAATAGATGGGAGAAGGATAAGTTGCATGTGGGAAGGTGAGTTGGAAGGCTTTTCAGGGAGTAGATTATAATAGTTTGGTTCAGAATTAGGACTATGGAGATGGAGAGAACTGAACCAAATGGAGATCTAATTTGAAGATGGACTGGACATATACTGGAGGCAGCAATAATAAGACTGGCTGCCAGAGTTTGTGTAGAAGATGAGAGAAGTATGGCTTCTGCATATCTGATTTGTGCAGTTGGTTGGCTGGGGCACCATTTGCAGAGGCATAGAAGTTGAAAGGAATACACATTTCTAGGAAGTGTCATGACTTAGGAAAAGTGAGCTTGAGCTGCATTTGAGATTTCAAGTATTTGATTCAATAGGTAATTGTATATGTGTGTATATGTGGACAGTTGTATACGTGCTGGTTATCTGGTATTAAGATATAAATAATATGCACATCTTCTATGCCCAGATATAATTAAGTGATGGGGATAAATGAGATCATCCAGGGAATGATTATGATAAAATGACAAGAAAAAGAGGCCCCAGGTCAATGGTTGGAGAAACTCTATCAGTCAATGACCTGGTTTAGGCTATAATGATCAAGAAAGGATCTTTAGTGAAATAGTGAGGGTCAGAGGAAAATAAGAAAAGTGAATTGTCACAGATGCCATGAAAAAAGCATGCAAGGAAAAGCGAGGGAATAGATTCACATTGTCGTATACTGCTGTGAAGTCAAACAAGTTGAAGATTAGAATGATTGTTGGATTAGCATCAAGAAAGTCTTCTCCCTTCTGCCCCAGGATACTTAAATGTAACCTCATCTGGATTCCACATGAGATGTACTTATTCCTGTGCACCTGATGTATGTGGTACCTACTATTTGAGGATGTGTCCATCTTTCTTTCTAAGGAAGATGTACCATACCATTTGTTTTTTTGACTATTGAGGGGCTCTTTGAAAGTGTGAAATGTTAAATATATATTTGTTGACTATATGAGTATAAAGTAAAGAATAGACATGGAAGCAGAAACACTTAGAGATGAGAAGGAATGGCAAATGCCATAGAATTTGGGTATGATGAAGACCACTATCAAATGTTCCCTCCATCCAAGTCATAAATGAATGTGGGTCAAGTAAGAGGATTAAGCTTTGTGCCTGAACTAAGAGCTCCTTCCAGAACACCCTGCTCATAATTCTGAGATAGTTATTCAATGTTACTAATTTTCCCACATTTTCTAAAAAAATAAATCTACTCTATTTCTTTAACTGTGGAGTCCTTGCAGATATTAAATAGCTTTGTTGAAAGACATTGTTGGGAGCTATCAATCAGAAACCATAAACCATGTCATTAGCTATGAAAAAAAAAGCAAAGGATTTTCTCTCTAAAAGCCAGAATGAAATTTATTCTTGAAATCAAAAGCATAATAAGCATTTAAGTAAAAAAGAGTTAACTACATGCTTTATACTCAGACTTCAGAATAGAATGAATTACCTCTGTCTCCTTCACTTTCAAATGATAATTTCCTTCTTCGTAGTTTACAGTTGTCTCCATCAGAATCATTCATGGATTGTGATCGTAGTAAAAGATCAGCCTTTTTAAATGGAGCATGAACAAAGATGAAGATAAAATTGAAGATCATGCAATTTGAATGTAGTATGCTTTCAGCAAACTCTTTACTATTTCATATCATGTCAACTACTTTGAGACTTATGAAATGATTGCATAAAATAACTAATAATATTTTTTAATGATTGTTTCTAAATTATAAAATATATGATATGATTCTAGTAGTTTTACCATCTGATGGGACTATACTCAAAGAAGTTATTTATTAGAAATGTTTGGGGACAAAGGCAGGCATTTGGTTTAACAGTTGAGATGCCCACATTCCATAATGGAATGCCAGGATTCAAGACCTGTGTCTGCTTCCTGACTGTAGTTTTCTAGTATTGCAGACCCTGGGAGGTGGTGCTGATGGTTTAGGTATTTGCATTCTTCCCACCCCTGTGGGAGACCTGAATTGAATTCCTGGCATCTGGCTTCAGCTTGTCCTAGATGTGGCCATTTCCGGGCATCTAGGGAGTGAATCAGTCTCTCTCTCTCTCTCTCTCTCGCTCTCGCTCTCGCTCTCGCTCTCGCTCTTGCTCTCGCTCTCTCTCTCTTTCCTTCTTTCCATCCCTCCTAAAATAAAAAAAAAAGAAATTGGAGGACGATGCCAGTATTTACATATAAATAGTCCTTTATGTGTAAGATGTTTTGTGTAACTTGGAATGGTTAAGAATAATAGTAATAATTTTTAAAACTTTGCAAAATGTATTTCTGCAGAGAAAATGTATAAATTATAATGAGCTATGGTGTTTAAGTAACATGGTAATGATCAAAAGGTTAAATTTTACTACAATACTTATAAAGTTGAGATAATAAGTAATGTCATGGTTTGAATGCTTTATTATTTTTGTTCCAAGATTCTTTTTCATTCCTCTCTGGTTAACTCTATACAATATTGATAGTCTTGTAAATAAAAATGGAAACTTTTGTTCTATTTATTGGGCTCCTGCTTAAACTTTTAGATAAAGAAATTACCTGACTTACATGTTTTTTGTTTTGAAGGCAAAATCCCAGTGACGTTGGTAACGTAAACTGGAATTGTGACAAAGTAGTGAATCACAGTCATTATAGAAAACCTGTGCTCCTGAGAAATTCAAACTTTTAATACCTAGGTACTTCTCAGGGTTTTGGAAAGAAACAATTTTCTGAGTGGTGCATCGGGATATTCAACAATGGCATCCAGGTGACTTAAAATTTACTTTCTCTTTAAGTCTCTCACAGTACCTGGGAATGATAGTAACTCAGAGAATTACAGCAATCACCTTATTCCAACTGGTGACATGATGATCTTTTCCCCAGAGACTTTATTAGCTAGCATGTAAATATAATGTCAAGTATCAAAAGTCCAATATTTGATTTATGTTTAAAAACAGATATTTAGAATTAGAGTGGTATTTCAGTGTTTTTGGTGGAAAAATATTGGAAGAGGAATGACCTAGTAATAAATTGTGTGCTCCTGCATAAGTGCTATTTCCATATAATAGTAATACATCATAATAATAATTTATTCTCAGTGGAAGAGAGTGGGGGACACATGGACCACATTCTCAGCATCCATTCAAGGTTAACTAATATGTAAAATTATTTAAAATATTTCAATTAGAAAATGTATTATTTGTTCATAGCATTAAATTTGACTATTGTAAAATTTTATTACTGTATATATTTGTATTTTGGAAATTATATCTAATTTGTACATACCAAATTAGTTTATGATTTCATGATTTTTAAGAGGCCACTGATAACCAATGTACGGTGTAAATAACAGCTGAAAGAATACTTTTACCTCTGTATAAAATACTATCTTTTGATTGGTGTTCAGTAGTTCAGAATCAATCATTGCTTAGAAATAATTGGTATAACTATTTTAATAATATATATCACTTAAGGATTCTCACAGGTCAAACTTAATTGGGCTACTTAAAATTATTCAATAAATTTGAAAATAATTAGCCTGAATTCCTTCCCTGTAATTTAGAGGTTTGTATTAGGCTTGTCTTTCCTTCCACATGATCAGAATTGATTAGGTTTTGCTGCAATATTTTCCTTGCTTTTCGATATATTTGTTCAACCCAAAAATAAGATGAAATGTGGAAATACAAAAATAAGCAAAACAATGAACATATACCTTTGCACTTTCATGTCTTAGATTGAAAGTCAACTCTAGATTTGTTAGAAAGTGATCAGAAAACTCAGGATACATATCCAAAACCTCTAACAAGTCTTCTCGTTGAATCTTATGTAAGTCACAGTATGTGAGAGCTCTTACATCTGCATTAGACTTTCCAGGTTTGGCATAAAGATGGACCATTTCTCCAAATATATCATTTTTTCCTAAGAAGAGAGGGAAAAATGGGGATCAAGAGAATGCAAAATTAGTATTTTCTTCTAGAAGTAATAGAGAACCACTGATTAACTGACCAATTCCTGAGCCAAAGATTTCAAAATGTTAAGAACAATGGCCAAAAAATGCATGGACAGCAAAGTTCCAGAATAGTCCATGTTAGTGGATTGAAATTTTGCTTCTAAAAGTCACTGATCCCTTTCATATTATTGCTTTGGTTCTTTGTCTAAGCATTTAGAATGTAGCAAACATTCCTTCAAACTGTTATGCCCCATGTTTCTAGAGAAGGGTGTTTTAAAATATTTTTAAAACATTTTCAAGTAGGTGGACTGTGATTTTGTCAATCCAAGAATATGAGAAGGGTCACAGTGAGTCAAGTTCATTATTTTTTCTATTTCAGGATGGTATCTGAATTTGATGCTGAGCATAGGGTTGGTGGAGGTGCTCTTACAATACCTAAAAGGTTGAGGGAGGAATCTGAACACCTTGTTCACTTTAATAAGCACTTTGGATTTTCCCTTAATGAGTTTGTGCAATTGTTTGATAAATCCAGTTGCATTTTCTTAACATGCATGGTCATAATTCTTTTCATATGGCCTTTATTCTGAAGGTGTGTTTTCCTCGCTGTCCTGCAAAACCTGAGGTTATTTCAAATGTTTCCTCTTATTGGCTCCAACAACACCTCTACCTAACCTAATGCCACCTGCTTTTCCAGGTCTTGTTCAGTGATAAATGATAGCACCAAAGACAAATATTTATTGAGGACTAAATAAGTGCCAGCCTCTGTCAAGGGCTTAGGTACTTTATCTCATTTTATTCCAAAAATACTTTTAAGAAATTATTAATTATTTTCCAAATTTTCTGAATACAGAAAGAGGATTAGAGGTAAACTGATTAGCCCAAGGTCACCTTCTTAGTTGAGTGAAATGGGGGCAGGCAGAAAGTGACAGAACTAAATCCCAGGCATCCTGAGTGGAGTCAAAGTCCTTACATATCCTATATATCTAATCTATTCCCAAGATATATTTTTCTGTTTCAGGATAAAGTATTTAAAAGTTGTATTTGTGGTTTATGTATTTAAAAATACTAATAAATTACTTGATTATATAACTTTTGAAAAGCATCAATAACTGTAAAACAATATTTTTAAAATATCTGAAGTTCTTTGCAAACTTAATAATATCTCCTTGGGTGTATTATTTTAACTTCTGATATTCAAACTCATGTATGCTCCACTGTGGAAGATATCAAAGTCTTTACAACAATGAAGTTTGGCCTAACTAGTCCAAAATTTTATGATACTCGTTTTAAACAAGAATTGAGTGGGGAAAATCAAATGCAATATCTTAACTATATAAACAGAACTGATAGTGGAAATAATATACATATATATATATATATAACATAGTTTAAATAAATACTTATTAACCTTCCTTTTTAAATTAACCTTTCTATATTTTTATTTTTTAAAAGATTTTATTTATTTATTTAAGAGGCAGAGTTACAGACAGTGAGAGGGAGAGACAGAGAAAGGTCTTTTTTCCATTGGTTCATTCCCCAGACGGCCGCAACAGGTGGAGCTGTGCCGATCTGAAGCCAGGAGCCAGGAGCTTCTTCCTAGTCTCCCATGCAGGTGCAGGGGCCCAAGCAGTTAAGCCACCTTCTACTGCTTTCCCAGGCCATAGCAGAGAGCTGGATTGGAAGAGGGGTAGCCAGGACTAGAACTGGCACCCACATGGGCTGCCGGCACTGCAGGCAGAGGATTAACCTACTGTACCACAGAGCCAGCCCCTAATTAACCTTTCAAACACAGAATAGGAGTGGGTGTTGTGGCTTAGTAGGTTAAGCCACCACTTGACATACCTGTCTCCCATGTTGGAATACCTGGGATTGGGTCTTGCTAATGCACCTGGGAAGCAACAAACGATGGCCTGAATGCTGTGTTCCTGCCACCTATGTGGGAGTCCCTGATGGCATTCCTGGCTTTTGGCTTCAGACTGGCACAACCCCAGCTATTGCAGGCATTTGAAGCATGAACCAGTGGTTGGAAAATCTCTTTCTGCCTCTGTCTCTTATCTGTCTCTCTGTCTCTGTCTCTGTCACTCTCTCCCTCCCCCACCCCCATCACTTTATCTTTCATATAAAAATCTTTAAAAAATGGAATCAATGATCACAATTTTTGGAGATTTTTGCTGCTGACCTACCTGGAAATGAGGACTGAAAAAGAGAATCTCTTGAAATTCCTTGCAGTCTTTATAGTTCAATATAGATATTATCAAGTAAAACACAATCAACTAAATTAAGTATGGGCTTTGTATTTTAATTAGCTTACATACTCTAAAGGGGTAAGGAGTAAGCCAGTCCATGTGTACAGTATAGCAACACTCTAAAGTTACTATTATATGGGGAAAGAAGGTCTATTGTCTTCGTGTAGAAGCTAGGGCTGGCTGGTTTGACGATCAATGAGTAATGAAGCATGCATGCTCTTTCCCTGGCAACCTACCACAGCGAACTCTCAAGGCCAAATCTAGTGAAATCCTAACCTGATTGTGACCTCAGCGTGATTTAGAATATGCTTTTATTCTTTGCCTGCTTACTGGATCGGAAATAAAATTGTATATACATCTTTTCAGTTTGTGGGGCATTTAAAAATTTAATTGTGATAAAATTATCAAAATACAAGTATATAGGAAGTTATGCAAACATATTCATTCATATGTTTGGATCTTGTGGCTATGCCATATTATGATTCCACATAGCAACAAAGAAAATATACAAAATACCTGTCCTTTTGGAGCCCATAGTCATATGTAACCATAAATAGCTAAATGATAGAAGCCATTGAGTTACATGCCATTATTTAAAGAAAGTTGAATGTAATCTGCAGGGGGCAAATTATTAATTGCTAGAAACACAGGAAATGGGTGTTATCATGAGGAAGAATGATATTTGAAACCTAGTGTCTAGTTGGTAAGAGAGAAGAAGACCTGATCATTTTCCTCTGTTTCATTGATTTCCCCCATAGTTATTAACAATTTTAATCTCCTCATCACCTTTATGCCTAGGTGTTATGTTCATAAGTCTTTACTGTCTAAGCAAGGATTCATTTAATTCCATTTGGTGGGAGACAGCAGGTAAAGTGTACAGTGATTTAATGAAGCTCATCAGTACAGAGACTTACTTCATGACAGGACATTGACATATGCTAGCAAGCATACCTACAATATACATATTCTATTTTAAGCTGCTAAGTGATAAAGCATGAAGGCAAGATATTCTAAAATGAAAAGGAAAATACTGACTATTTTCATATATTTGGCCTCAAATGTCCAAGTGACTGTCTAGAACAAGAGAATCATGGGTGTGTTTACAAACAGAAAAAGTCAACAAAATTTTTTCTGCAAGGTTAATTTCATTTAAATGAATTTTAAATAAGATTTTCTAATTGCTCACCAGTCTTAAATAGTCATCATAAATAAAAATGAATTATTTTTTCTATCGCTTTAAATTATGTATCTCACTAGCCAATAACTGAATTTGTCACCACCCAGTTCTAAAACACTCACCCAGAATAGCTACCACAATGTCATCTTTGAGGATTTCGATGGAACCTCTGGACAGGAAATAAAGTGCAGTGAGTACGTCCCCACAGTGAACAAGTGTGTCTCCTGGAGGTGCATGGGTGGTCTTGAATTTCATTGCCAACGCTCTAAGGCAACCTTTACTTGCCCCCCGAAAGGCTTTGCAGTTTTGCAGCAAAGTCTGGTTGAGATGCAGACAAATGTCAGCTTGTAAGCATTCTGGGAAACCCTTTAGGACCTGAGGGGAAAAAAACAAAAGGTCTCATACTACCAGCACACTGAGGACCTGAACCTAAAATAAAGTACATTTCTTGCTCTCAGAATTGCAGGTGTAGTAAATGTCACACAGGAGTTCTCAGAACATGTCTACCTCGCCTACCTTAAGAATACTTGGTTTGCTAAACATGTCAGAATTTTAACTCAAATACTTGTTCTCTGAATTAACTGCAGGCATTCAGCCTCAATTCAAATCTGTCGCATTAAAATGTAATGCCTACAACTGTTCACACTGCTTCTTTTTCCTGCATTATGTTATGTGGCATCATAGTGTGTACAGATATAATGCAATGTGACAGTTAATAAGACATAGTTCATGAAAGGTGGTACAAACTAGAAAGACAACCTCTTGAAGGAATCTCAAGTCAATTTAGATTGCCATCTCTGGTATACACCTTAGTTGTAATTAGTAAAAATGTTGATCCTGAAATAGCCATGATATTTGTTAAGTATCACATAATAAGGAATACTCTCAGTTAACCGTACCTGGAATGCTTGTGATTAATATATATATCACTAATATTAAATATTTTGATAAGCACTGATAATAAAGAATGGGAAGAAAGCAACCGTACTTTAAAAGAGTAGTTCAGTTTTCAGTAATGGAAATTATGCCTGAATTTACACTGCATACATAAGCTTCTAAATTGCAATTGTTTTGACAACTTTTTCAGGGGCTAATTTAAAGCTTGTGGAACAGAGTAAATGATAGTTTGTGACAAGTGGTACTCAATTTGAACTGAATCAAATTTTGTGTTATTTTTATAAAATTCCCAATATACAGTGGGTCAAAGACACTCAATTCTTCCTTCTCCGTGTCTTACTATTTTATGTCATATGCGGATTTCAATTTTTATGTTGACTTTCTGCTACAACTAAAAATAGACTCGTTTAAATATGTTTTGGTATAAAGGAGGGAGCATTATAACAGTGCAACAATACAATTTTTGATCAAATTGGTATTTCATTCAATATATCTAAAAGTAATCATGAATTGTTTGTGAGGGAATTCAGACATATTTAACCCATAAGGGGGTTTCAAATTAAATCATATTGGACTGAACTTACAATTATTACTATTTGAAATATTTAAAGCAGCCAAGGAATATATTTCTGTAGAACAATTTCTTGCCATTGGTCAGACTGACTGTGCCAGAATGTAAAAGGGTACAAAAGAGACAGGATGCACAATTACTATAATCTTCACTCTTATTTTCTCCATTGCTTAGATTTACCCACACGAATGGCTATATTGTATTTTAGAAGAAAAGCTATGGGACTGAATTCAGGTATGAATTTGCCACAGAATCACTCTTGCACAAGTCACTTCCCCTGTGTTTTGCTACTATAAAATGAGAGCCTTTACAATTTGAATAAGTCATGTTACTGACAAATTGTGTGCCAGTTATCAAACTGCTCATCAGCTCTGCTGATATAAAAACTCAGACTTTGATCTTGAAGATTCTGTGTTATGTGGCTCAGGTCCAAAAGAAATGACCCTTCCTCTACTAGAATTCACAGGTGCTTTTCTGCAGTCTTTCCCCTGTATTCTAACTTTTGGGCTTGGTCTACATGAACGGATTGCTACCTGGATTTCTGCTTGAGCACAAGACCTCTCCAACACCATCATGTGCCTGGCCTTTACTCACGGCAGTGCTTGGGTGCTGAAGAGTTTTTCTGCCCTCTGTTAGGATTCTACGTCATGGAATCAACTCACTGGGTCACTGATCCCTTGGATCACTGAATTCATCCCATTATAGTTTTTGGCTAGTGACGTTATTCCAGAGTTGAGCTAAATTGGGTACCATTTACTGATATGGCAGCCACTTCGTTTTGGGGCTGCATAGGAGAAAAATTCCCTAGATTGGTAGTGTCAGCATGACTTAATTCTTCTCCCTGAAGACCAGTTATGTTGTCTCAGCATAACTCTCAACCCATGTAGGCAAAAATGTATAGAACATTACACCATGGAACAAATTACATGTGTCTAGCTTTCACTTAAGATGTGGCTACCATAAGCTGCAAGGAAGTATTTTATATTTCACATGCATGGAGGAGATATTGTTACTATATAGTTGAAATAACAATAATTAGTTTATTGTTGCTATTTATAGAATTTTCTGTGTCTTCCGAAGTATAGCCTGGCTTTAGAAGAAAAGTTATGTATGGAGGGGGAGTAGCAGGGGCATGTATTTGAATTGGAAGACAGAGAAGAGATTGAGATGGAGTTCTTCATTTCTCTGAATGTATTATAGGAGTTATGAAATCAGAAAGACATGGGCTGAAGTGCTAGTTCTACCATTTACTAGTGTGACTTTGACTAAATTAGTTAATTTCTCTGAGATTCAGTTTCTTGTTTTATGGAATTAATAACATACTTCAAAAGGTGATGGTCACAATTAAATGTGATATTGGAAGTAAGCCATCCCAAGCACAGTAGATATTCCACAGACAATTTACTTCTGATTTTGACTTCCTGTGTTTTTTTTTTTTTGTTACACATATTTATTATTCTGTTCTCCTTAGCTAGAGATCAAGTTTCCATTGCTTCATGCTTCAGTAAACAAAGGAGTTTGTGACCAACTATGTTTTCTTTCTTAATTTAATTCTTCTAAGTTGACTTTTCTTTCCTGCTGATACTTGTCTCTGTAGCCTTTCACTCTGTTCCTTATATTTTCAGCCTCTGAGCAGCCCTAGGTAAGGTATATGCTGGCATCCCCTTTTTCCTGTACAGTGGAACCCTGCTTACTGGCTTTCCCTAGGAGTTGAACCCTTCTCCCTGCCTACCTCCAGCATCTCCTCTCCCTTTAAAATTACCATGTAGTGGCAAGCAGCCTTGTATTCTTCTCTGTTAGCTCTGGACTCTGACACTGAAACTAATATTTCAGAATCGCTAGGACCATTTTTTTGTTTTGTTTTGTTTTGTTTTATGTCTGACCTGTGATTATGGTACAGCATTAGCTGAAATTTAGTCTTGTTTTATTCCACTCCTCCCTCCTTTTTTATTTTTTGACAAATAAACGTTTCTAACACTTAAAAAAAAGAGATACAATATCTATTTTTTTTTTTTTTGGACAGGCAGAGTGGACAGTGAGAGAGAGAGAGACAGAGAGAGAAAGGTCTTCTTTTGCCGTTGGTTCACCCTCCAAGGGCCGCCGCGGCCGGTGTGTTGCAGCCGGCTTACTGCGCTGATCTGATGGCAGGAGCCAGGTACTTCTCCTGGTCTCCCATGGGGTGCAGGGCCCAAGCACTTGGGCCATCCTCCACTGCACTCCCAGGCCAGAGCAGAGAGCTGGCCTGGAAGAGGGGCAACTGGGACAGAATCCAGCGCCCCAACTGGGACTAGAACCCTGTGTGCTGGCGCCTCAGGCGGAGGATTAGCCTAGTGAGCCGCGGCGCTGGCCACAATATCTACTGTGTTTTCTCCAGTTCTCTTGGCAGAAAATTTCCACTAAGCTTTGTGTTTTATTGCCTCAACAGAGTTTAAATCTTTTGTGCTTCATTGTATCATGTTAAAGAATTATTTTCCTTTCATCCTTTATTTTTCTTGTTTCTGTCTTGTTAAATGTTCTGGCTTACTTGTATTTTTTTTTTTTTTCCTGCAAGTTGCCTTAAACTCATTTTGGAAGTAGGTATTTCCTCAAATTAATTTACAAATATGTTCTTAGAATTCTAACAATCTTGGAATCACCTGCAAAAATCACACAAAAAATTCAGTTCTATGCAAAAAATTTTCCTAGCTAAATTTCCTCAGCCTCCAACATTCATTTTAAGAGAAGTGACGTCTCTCTGCCAGGATTTCCTCAAGTTGGAGGTGCCACAGAGCTTTTATTTTCAGAAAGGGAAGATACACAGATCTTGGCACAGACTTGTTTAGATTAAGGAATCCTTTCACAGTGTTAGTGCTTAATTGACATGCTTAACCTTCTTAAGTTAGTCACATAGATCATGTAAGTAAAAATAAAATTTCAGGTTCAGTTGTTGAAGCACTTCTTATATGAATTGTTAGATGTTACAAATAAGTTAGCAGCTTTGAAATCTGGAACATGCCTGAACGAACTTTAAAGTGCAAATTTAAAAGGAAGGGAATCGTGATGCAACTGAGGAGGAAATGCATTGAGAAGAATGGGAAGTGACTGATAGGTATGGGTGTTTATCCAAGGTACCACTCTTTATCAGTCTCAGCTAGGTTGCCTTTTTTGCTTCCTATACATTGTATTTTTTTTTTCCAGGTTTGATTCTCCTGGTAAACTCCATAATTAGAAACTTCTCATTCTCTACTCAGATACTGGATTATTTTTTTTAACTAGTTCTAACAGATTTGGTTTTAAAGTGTTGTTGTGTCAAGTGCACAAGGCCAGACGAGGACATAATCTGGTTTGGTAATTATTATACTCATTTCCACTCTATACAGCCTTCTTGTCTGGAAACTCTAAAATTGCAAAGGTACATATTATTTTCAGCTATGCCTGTGGAGCCATTGTTTCATTGAGTCAGTGTAATTTAAAAGACCAAGGAGCATCACCCAGAATCAGTTGTCACAGCTTGCAGCTTGGAAAAGCAGCTCAATACTTTTAGCAAATATTTCTCAAGAATGTCATATATGCCTGGCACTGGGCTAAGGAGTATAATAGCAAATAAAATATGTTTTGAAAACACACACAAAAAAACCTTTTCCTCTAAATTTTCAGATTAAAATCTGTTTTTCATAAGATTAACCACAATTTCACTCATTATGTTCTTGTCAAATGTGAACATTTTTAATTTAATTGCCTTTTTGTGTGTGTGTGTTTTTTTTTTTTTTTTGAAAGAGAGAGAGAGAGAGAAAGAGATAGAGATAGATATAGAGATAGAGAGAGAGAGAGAGAGTACTGTCATCTGCTGGGTTACTCCCCAAATTCCTGCAATGCACAGGACAGGGTCATACCAAAGCTGAGAGCCAGGATCTTAATTTGGGTATTC